GGTGGTAACAGGTAAGACAGGTTAGTCTGGTGGTAACAAGTAAGACAGGTTAGTCAGATGGTAACAAGTAAGACAGGTTAGTCTGGTGGTAACAGGTAAGACAGGTGGTAACAGGTAAGACAGGTTAGTCTGATGGTAACAGGTAAGACAGGTTAGTCAGGTGGTAACAGGTAAGACAGGTTAGTCAGATGGTAACACGTAACTCAGGTTAGTCAGGTGGTAATACGTTAGACAGGTTAGTCTGGTGGTAACAAGTTAGTCAGGTGGTAACAGGTTAGTTAGGTGATGATGATGGTGAAGATGATGATGAAGATGGTACTCACCACCCTGCAGGGTCTGAGCTCTGGACTCTTTTCCAACACTGGTGTGAAATCCAGAACCAAGAAGAGGAGCCTTAACTGGACCTGCAGACAGAAACACCAGACTCTATTTACTGTTTCTAGTGTTCATGTTCTACACCAGACTCTATTCATAAATGTGATGGTTTACTGTTTCTATTGTTCATGTTCTACACCAGACTATTCATAAATGTGATGGTTTACTGTTTCTATTGTTCATGTTCTACACCAGATTCTATTCATAAATGTGATGGTTTACTGTTTCTATTGTTCATGTTCTACACCAGACTATTCATAAATGTGATGGTTTACTGTTTCTATTGTTCATATTCTACACCAGACTATTCATAAATGTGATGGTTTACTGTTTCTATTGTTCATGTATCTATCTATCTATCTATCTTCCTCACCGTCAGCGGACACAAACTGTCCCACAGCAGATGAAACTCCTCCACTTCCCTCCACAAACTGGACCTCTGAGACGATGATGTTGTCCTCCAGAACCGAACCACATCCGGTACACACGGCACTGCCCCGGGCCTGATCCACATCTATGTCGGACCCCCCACAGGTCTTACACACCCGGGAGCTCATGGTGAAGGTGAACACAGCCTGGAGGTCAGAGAGGAGACTTTAAGGTTTTAGGTTCTCAAACCGTTCAAGATTAACTAGTTAACATGTATTTATAAACTACTTTACTAACTATGTTCGTTTTATTTACACATTTATATTAAAGGAAAAGTCACACAGAGAAAAGTTATTAGAAATAAAAACATGTGCAGGTTAATTATGTTAATCTTAACCAGAGAGAGGACCAGTTATCTTGACCAGAGGACCGGTTATCTTAACCAGAGGGCCGGTTATCTTAACCAGAGGACCGGTTATCTTAACCAGAGGACCGGTTATCTTAACCAGAGGGCCGTTATCTTAACCAGAGGGATGTTATCTTAACCAGAGGGCCGGTTACCTTGACCAGAGGACCAGTTATCTTAACTAGAGATCTGTTAATCTTAACGTTAAAAGAACACAGTCCAGTAGAAACAGTTAAAACAATAGTCAGGTAGAAACAGTTAACTAACTGGTTCTAATGTACTCAAACTGAGTTCACTTAGAGTGCAGTAGAAATAGTTAGTTAAAACAATAGTCCAGTAGAAACAGTTTCGCGGTTAAAAACACGATGCAGCCGTTATTTTCGCGATAGAATCCATTTTGTTTAGTAGTTCCCGCGTCAGACTGAACTACATAAATATATTTAACGGTTCATTTCAACATTTAGTGATTAAATACTTTAGATTATTGATCATACAAACCGATCAGGGTTTCGGGTGGTTTGTTTTCTTCCTGTGGCGCGGTGCAATGACGTCACAGATTCGAGATCGCACGTGGGGGAGTTTGTACATCGATGGCGGGAAAATTAAACTGTTAGCATTTAAAATTAAATCTATGTGTTCCGTTTTATATTATAAAATACAGACTATATTCACATTGTTATTAAAGTACATAATAAGATGGACTGGATGTTATTGTTGAAATATGACCGGACTCCCCCGCAGACCAGATTAAACGGGTCCAACTAGCGCCGCCTGATGACGTCTTCGGCTCCCGAAGACGTCATCAGGCAGCGTCGGTTGGTTTGCGGAAGTAGAAAGAGAGCGGCGGAAGTTTCTCGTAGAAAAACAACGTTTAGTGACTTTTTTACGGTCTCTTGTGTGAGTGAAGCAGCGGGAGGACATGAACTGGGACCAGCTGGAGCTCCACCCGAGGATCATAGCAGCCGTGAGGAGAGGTGACACCAGACTCCATTCACAAACATCACACTTTAACATCTCATTGTTTAACATCAACTTGTATGAATTACATATAAACACGTGTTAGATGAGTGATCGGCCACTATCGTAAACAACTAAAGTGAATATAATAGAAGTTCTGTTCGTTAGATCTTCCTTCTGATGGTCTTAGACCCGTCTTAGCCACGGGCGACCATGGCTCACTGGTTTAAGAGGGTTGTCTGGTAACTGCAGGGTCAGCGGTGCAATCCTCGACTGGGACGTGCCACGTGTCGTGGTGTCCCTGAGCAAGACACTGAACCCCCGGCTCCCCGGGCGCCTGTCATTGGCAGCCCACTGCTCCCTATATACAGGGATGGGTCAAATGCAGAGGTCAAATTTCGTGTATATGTATATGACAATAAAAAGGGTTTCTATTCTATTCTATTCTAAAACATTGTCTGTTAGGCGGGTTATGGTAACCTTGTGCCCCCCCCCCAGCTGGACTGAGGTCCCTCCCTGACGTGTTGAGTGTCTCCGGTCCAGACCTCCAGAGACTCACCAGTCTGTCCGGCTCAGACGTCCAGCAGCTGCTCACTGCCGCCGCCACTGCCTGCAGACGCCATCCTCCAATCACAGGTCAGGGATCAGTGAGGAGCCTTCTGATTGGACGTCACAGGGGTGATGTCAAAACGATGCGTACTCACTCACTGTGTGTTGTTGTGTTTGCAGCCCTCGAGCTCCATCGCAGGTCCGAGTCCGGCCTCAGACTCGGTGTGGGATGTCCCGTCCTGGACCAGCTGTTGAGGGGGGGGCTACCTGTAGGGGTTATCACGGAGCTGTCTGGAGAGAGCGGAGCAGGAAAGACCCAGCTAGCTCTACAGATCTGTCTGTCTGTGCAGTACCCAAAACAGTACGGAGGGCTGGACTCAGGTCAGTGAACGCACCATCAGAGGAAGCAGAATGAGCTGAATAGAAAACCGAAAGTTGATGGAGAACCGATGTAGACGCTGAAGCTGTTGTTCTAACGTGGTGCGTTCACTGACCTGTGTAGACGTGTGTTAATGCGGTGCGTTCACTGACCTGTGTAGACGTGTGTTAATGTGGTGCGTTCACTGACCTGTGTAAACGTGTTAACGTGGTGCGTTCACTGACCTGTGTAAACGTGTTAACGTGGTGCGTTCACTGTCTCTACAGGAGCAGTGTACATCTGCACTGAGGACTCGTTTCCTATCAGACGTCTGCAGCAGCTGATCAGGAATCAGTCGTTCCTGCGCTCCGACGTCCCTCCGCCACTGATCAGCAGCCTCCAGTTCAGTGACCACGTCTACGTAGAACACGCTGCTGACCTGGTGAGGCTCACCTCTCACCTCTGATCAGTGACTGACTGTTCAGGTGCTCACGGGTGGTTTCTTTGACTCCAGGACTCCCTGCAGGTTTGTCTCTCTCGCCGAGTCCCCCTGCTGCTTGCTCGGGGTCTGGTCCGGCTCCTGGTGGTGGACTCATTGGCGGCTCTCTTCAGGTCTGAGTTCCAGGCTGCTGATTGGCTGGAGAGGACGAAACAGCTCATCACTTTCTCCTCCACACTGCGTCACCTGAGCCTGGAGTTCACCACACCTGTCCTCTGTATCAACCAGGTAACACACACCTGTCCAGTAGGGCTGTCTCAAAAAGGGGTTTTCACTTAGAATGTCACTATTTAAATATTTGACTATTTAAATCATATATATATATATATATATATATATATGTATAT